GGAGTCTGTCAAGGTGAGACAGAAGGCTGCTGTAGACCAGGCATCCTCTTAAAGGGCCCGCACATGGACTCATTCGTTCACAAACACCTGCCCTAAGCTCCAGAGAACAAACAGCAGCTTGAAAAGTACCAGGGACATACAGAAAGGAGCTAATTTTCTGGCTTCAGGGCAAGGGCTGGAGGGGCAGGAGTCAGGGCAGCTGTCTCTGGGGTCAGAAGCGCTGGCAGGCACCATTGCTCCTTTGCCAAGCCCTCCCCACAACCAGCCGACCGGTGGGGGCCAAACCTGAGTCTCCATCAACCTGGCTAACACCATGCACTCCACCCTGGTGATTCCCTGAGACCCCACCCTACTCACACGCCAGGCCTGAGCCTCTTCCAGCAGCTACTCCGCACAGCAGCCTGCCTTCGCTTGTGATGCAGACTTTCCTAAAATCTCTCACGGTTCACAAACCTCAAACAAGCAGAGGCTGGCCTCGGCATACCCTGTACCTCTTGCTAAACAGCCCCAAGCCTGGCACTAGTGGTGACTGATCTCAACTTGCATTATAACGCCCAACACTTGGCTCCAAATCTGGCATAAACTGCGGTGAGTGTTAGTTTGGAATGTAGCTTCAACAGAGCGGCCACAAACCAGCTCAAGTGCTAAATGGCCTCAGCTCACACAGCATAGTTCCCACCAAATGGTCCTAAGTCTGGCACTAGTGGCTGCTGACCTCAGTTTGTAGCTTAGCCTCTCCCAAGCAATTCCAAGCCCAGCACAAGTGGCAATCAACTGCAGATCTCCTTCTAGCTCCCACCAGGGAGCTTCAAGATGGACATAAATAGTGCCAACCTTGGCCTACACAAGAGCCTCTACCAAAGGGCCCCAGAACCAATAAGCCCAGTGGCCAGCTTCAGACCCCACCAGAGAACCACTCAACAACTAGTGCCACAAATGACAGACCCAAAGGGTGGACTCTGCATGCATCAGAGCCCCACTACAGCGACTCCTGCTCCGTGAGGTCACCCCCGCACAATGGATTGTCTGCTGTAGTCACAGGCAGTCCTTACAGCCAGCTGGCCTGAGGGTCGATCCCATCCACTAACGTGCCAACAGCAATCAAGGCTCAACTACAACAGAAGGACACACACAACTCACACAAAAGATACCACTGGAGCACCCAGCTCAGGTGACCAGGAGACTGTGCCACTGGGCCCCACAAGACACCTACTACGTAAGGCCGCCTTGCCAAGAATGAGAGACGTTGCAGATCTACTTATGGAGACAAGCAATCTACACATACAGAGTGTAAAACATCAGTTGCAAGGACCCTAATGGACTCAGGGGAAGAACAGATGAACTCAGTGAGAACTTCAACAAAGAAAGAGAAAACACAAAACAGAGCCAGCCGGAAATGAAGAATACAGTAACCGAAATAAACAGTACATTGGAGGGCATCGACCGCAGACTAAATTAAAAAGAGGATCGAAATCAGCAATCTGGAAGACAATGTAGTGGGAAACACCCAATCGGAACGGCAAAGAGAAAAAAAGAAAAAAGAAATGAAGACAGTTTAAAGGGCCTCTGGGACAACATCAAGCATACCAACATTCGCTTCATAGCAGCACCAGAGGGAGGAGAGAGAGAGAGCAAGGGATTTAAAACCTATTTAAAAAAAGAACGACTGGAAACTTTCCTAACCTGGCGAACAAAGGAGACATACAAATCCAGGAAGCACAGAGTCCCAAACAAAAGGAACCCAAAGTGACCCGCACTGAGACACATCATAATTAAAATGCCAAAGGTTAAGACAAAGAGAGAATCTTAAAAGCAGAAAAGAGAAAAGCAGTTAGTTACCTACAAGGGAGTTCCTATAACTGTCAGCTGATTTCTCAGCAGAAACTTCACGGGCAAGAAGGGATTGGCACAAAATATTCAAAGTGATGAAAAGCATGGATCTACAACCAAGGTTACTCTACCCAGCAATTCTATCATTTAGAATCAAAGGACAAATAAGGAGTTTCCTACACAAGAAAAAGATAAAGGAGTTCATCACCACCAAGCCAGTATTCCAAGGCATGTTAAAGGGACTCCTGTAAGGAAGAAAAAAATATATAAGAATATATAGGAAAGAAAAAATGCTCACTGACAAGGCAAACACTTAAAAAAGCAGTTGGTCAACCAACTATAAAGCTAGTACAGAGTTTAAAAGGGACAAGTAGGAAGATCATGTGTGATTAAAACAACAAACTAAGAGATACACACAAACACAAAGAAAATAAAAATAATGACCCAAACAAACATGGAGGGGAAGGGTAAGAATTGTAGTGATTCCAGAACGTCTTCGAACTTAAGTGACCATCCACTTAAAATACCCTGCTCTAAACATTGCTTGGTATATATGAAGCACGTGACAACTACCAACCAAAACTCAGAGCGATATACAAGAAATAAAGAGAAAGGAATCCAAACACAACACTATAGAAAGTCATCAACACACAAGGCAGCAAGAGACTAAGAAATAGAGAACTATACAAATAATCAAAACAATTAACGAAATGGCAATAACTACATACCTATTGGTAATTACTTTAAATGTAAATGGACTAAATGCTCCAGTCAAAAGACACAACAGGGTGGCTGAATGAGTAATAAAAAAGACCCAAACATATGCCGCCTACAAGAGATCCACTTCAGATCAAAAGATATACACAGACTAAAAGGATAGAAAAAGATATTTCATGAAAATGTAACCACCCCCGCCAAAAAAAGCTGAGAGGGGCAATATTTATATCAGACAAAATAGACTTTAAAACAAGGGCTGTAACAAAAAAAAACGAAGAAGGATCTTTCACAATGATAAAGTGATGAACCCAATAAGAGGATATAACTCTCATAAACATCTACACATCCAACGCAGGAGCACCTAAATCTATGAAGCAAACACCGAAGGCAGTAAAGGGTGAGATCGACAGTAATACAGTCATAACAGGGGACTTTAACACCCCACTGACGTCAACGGATAGATCGTCCAGACAGAAAATCAACAAAGGAACAGTGGTCTTAAATGACACATTAGACCGGATGGATGTACTTGATATTTTTAGGGCATTTCACCCAAAAACCACAGAATATACATTCTTTTCAAGTGTACATGGAACATTTTTCACGATAAACCACATGTTAGGCCACAAAGCAAGTTCCAATAAATTTAGAAGATAAAAATCATAACAAGCATCTTCTCTGATCACAATGGTATGAAACTAGAAATTAATTACAAGAAGAAAGCTGAAAAACACACAGACACATGGAGGCTAAAAACATGTTACTAAACAATAAATAGGTAACAAAAAGTTCAGATAAATCAAAAGATACCTTGAGACAAATAAAAATGAAAACACAACCCCATATCTATGGAACACAGCGATAGCAGTCCTAAGAAGGAAATGCAGAGCGATACAGGCCTACCACAAGAAACAAGAAGAATCTCAAATAAACAACCTAACCTTACACCTAAAGGAACTAGAAAAAAAAAAAACACAGCCCAAAGTGAGTAAAATAAAGGAAATAAAGATCAGTTTTCTTGAAAGATAAACAAAATTGACAAATCTTTAACTAGACTAGTTAAGAAAAAGAGAAGCCGAGTAATTAAAACTAGAAATGAAAAGAAGAGATGACAACTGACACCACAGAAATACAAAGGATTATAAGAAAATACTACAAACAATTATATGCCAACAAATTGAACAACCTGGAAGAAATGGATAAATTCTAGAAATATACAATCCTCCAAGATGGAATCAAGAAGAAACAGAAAATCTGAACCGACCGATAACTGCTTTCAACCAGTAATCAAAAAACTCCAAAACATAAAAGCCCCCGAGCCACATGCCACAGGTGAATTTTCCAAACATTCAAAGAAGAATTAACACCTATTCTTCTCAAACTATTCCAAAAATTTCAAGAGGAGGGAAGACTTCCAAACTCATTTAACGAGGCCGGCATTAACATGATTCCAAAACCAGACAAACACGTTACATAAAGAGAATCACAGGCCAACATCCCTGATGAACACAGATACGAAAATCCCCCCCAAAATATTAGCAACCTGAATCCAACGATACATTAAAAAGATCATACACCGTGATCAAGTGGGTTTTATTTCCAGGATGCAAGGTTGGTATAATGTCTGCAAATCAGTTAATGCGATAACCACACAAACCGAATGAAGGGAAAAGATCATACGGTCATATCAACAGATGCGGAAAAAGTGTTTGGCAAAATCCAGCAAGACAAAGATGTCCACTTTCACCACTTTTACGAAACACAGTATTGGAAGTCCTAGCCACAGCAATTAGGCAAGAAATAAAAGGCATCCGAAATGGAAAAGTAAAACTGTCATTATTTGCAAATGCCGTGACACTAGAGAACCCTAAGGATGCCACCAAAAAAACTATTAGAATAAATTAATTCAAAAAAATAGTGGGATACAAAACTAATATTCAGACGTTGGTAGCATTTTTATACATCAATAACAAAGTATCAGAAAGAGAAATTAAGAAAAAAATCCCACTTACAATTATATCGAAAAGAATATAATATTTAGGAATAAAGTTAACCAAGGAAGTACAAGACCTATACTTGGAATATTATAAGATGTTGAAAAAACCGAAGATACAAATAAATGGAAGCATACGCCGTCCTCATAAACAGGGACAATTACATCGTTAAAATGCCCATACTACCCAGAGCAATCGAGAGTCAATGCAATCTCTATCAAAATAACAATGGCAATTTTCACTAAACTAGAATAAATAATCCTAAGATTTATATGGAACCGCTATAGACCCGAAAAGCCAAAACATTCTTGAGAAAGAATAACAAAGTTGGAGGCATCACACTATTTGACGTCAATCTATACTCCAAAGCTACAGGCACCAACACAGCAGGGTACTCGCATAAAATCAGACATAAATCCATGGGACAGAACAGAGCCCAGAAATGGAATAGAATAACGCCTTAATGGTTAATTAATCAATGACAGAGGAGGCAAGAACACACGACAGGATGAAGATGGTCTCTCCAATAAACGGTGTTGGGAACACTGGACAGATACATGGCAAAAAATGCAACAGAACCACTTTCTTACACCAGCTACAAGAATAAACTTCAAATGGAGTAGAGACCTAAGTGTAAGACCTGACACCATAAAACTAGAAGAAAACTTAGGCAGTATAAACTCTTCTGACACTGGTCTTAGTAATAGCTTTGGGGATGTCTCCTCGGGCAAGGGAAACAAAAGAAAAAAAATAAAATAAAAAAATCGGACTACATCAGACTAAAAAGTTTCTGCACAGCAAGGAAACCATCATCAAAACAAAGAGAAGCTACTGAACGAGGAGATATTCGTCAATGATATATCCGAAAAGGGGTTAATATCCAAATATATATATGAAGAACTCATACAACTCAACACCAAAAAAAGAAAAATAAAAAAACTGAATAAAAAATGGGCAGAGGACCTGAACAGGCCTCTCTCCAAAGAGAACTTACAGATGGCCAATAGACATGTGACAAGATGCTCAACATCACTAATCATCGGAGAAATGCAAATCAGAACCACAACGCGATGTCACCTCGCACCTGTCAGAACAGCCATCGCCAATAAACCAAACGACAAGTGCTGGCGGGGATGTGAAGGGATGTGAAGGGAGCCCTCAGGCTCTGCTGGGGGGACTGCAGATGGGCGCCGCCACGCCGGAAAACAGGGTGCAGCTTCCTCAAAAATTAAAAATAGAACTGCCTTATGACCCCGCAATCCCACTCGGGGTACTTATCCGAAGAAATGCAAAACACCAGTTTGCAAAGATGTGTTCATCCCGGTGTTCACTGCAGCGCTAGTCACAGCAGCCAAGGCAGGGAAGCGACCTGTGTCCATCGGCAGATGACGGGGGGCGGAAGCCGTGGTGCGTGTGCGCAATGGAAAACACACGGCCAGAAAATAATGAAATGATTGTCAAATTAAAAGGGGGTTTGGGGGGCTGGGGGAGAGAGGGGGAGGGGTTATGAAGTACAAATTGCCAGTTAAAAAAAACACACAGGGAACACAGGGAATACAGTCAGTAATATCGGAATAACTATGTAGGGTGCCAGATGGGACCCAGACGGATCAGGGGGATCACTTTGTAAGTCATAAAAATGTCTAACCGCTATGCTGTGTACCTGAGAATACTGTATGTAAACTGTAATTAAAAACAAAAAAAGAAAAATACGTTTAAAAAGAAGAGTCAGATGTCAAACAAACAGCAGACAGTCCCAAGCGTTTTCAGGTGACTGTCTCTGCTACGTGGTAGCTGCTCCCCCATAACCTCATGGCTCCCTCCTTCACCTCCTTCAGGTTCTGGCCCAATGTCCTCTCATCGTGAAGATCTTCCCAGCTCACCCAGTTCAAAACCACAGGCCCTACATGCCGCTCAGGTTCGCTCCGTAGCACGGGTCACCACACAATTTACCGATAGCTCTGCATTTATCACCTGGCCCCACTCCGCTGCCACTAAGCGGTAAGCCACACGAAGGCAGAGACTTTGGTTGTCTGTCCTCGCCGTACCCCTGGTGCCCAGGACTCCGAGGCACTTGGCACGCATTTGCTGTCTGAATAAATGGATCACAGGATCGGTATGTCACAGGAGCTCTCAAAGGCTTCTGCGTGGAGGAAGATGGAGGGGAGGGGTAAAAAGCCATAGGACAGGGAAACAGGCCTCCACAAGTGACAGTGAGGGGACAGTGAAACCCAGAAGCCTTAAACTGACAGCTTCAAGCATTCCATCTGCCGGGCTGCCAGGTGCCACAGATGGGTGTCAGGCACCTACCTTCTCTGCAGCTAGCTCTGTGGACAACTGAGAGACTGGGGACTCCTGACTTTCCGGGCCACACTGCCTCTGGTGGCCCCCACTGCGGAGGATGAAGCACCCGGAGCTGGAGCCCCTCCCTCGGGACAGGACGGCGGGCTGGGCCAGTGCGGCCACATCACCTCCTCACCCTCCCACCCAGCAACACACAGCTCAGTGGCTTTTCAAAGTTTTCGGCCTAAGACCCACAGTAAGAAATCCACTTCACGGAAATGGCTCAGCACGTGCGACCACGAAATTAAAACCAGGTTCCGCAGCCACAACTGTCCCTAGTCTACGTGATGCCAGGCTGCTTTCTCCCTTCGCCCACGAACACTGAACACGCTGGTTGACGTCCTAAGTCGATTTCACGCCGCCTCGTAAAGCCTGTGCTGCCATTTGAGAGGCGCTGCTCAGCACTCTCCGCTGCCCCCACGAACGGCCAGGGTCGTCCTTGTAGAAAAGTCAGTCACATAATTCCCTGCTCAAACCCGTCAACTGTCACAGAGAAGAAAATCCAAGCTCCCTTCCGTGGCCCCAACGCCCTGCGTGATCTTGCCCTTGCCTCTTCCTCACTGTGCACTGGGCCAGGTAGCCGCCACCTGCTGGGCCTGCAAGCCCCAGCCTGCCTCAGGACCTCTGCAGGTCACCTACTTTCCCCGAGGCTTTCATTAGGTATGAATCCCCCCAGAGGCAGGTTCCCCGACCGCCCCATCTTAAAGCATCCCCAAGCCCCTTCCCAGTCACCATCACATTTCCCTGTTCTATTTCCTCTGTGGTTCCCTCGCGATCTGGAACCCCCTAGTCTAGAACATAAGCTCCCCAAAGGCCCCCCAGCCCTTCAACCAAAAGTGAAGATAATCACACCAACTTCAGCGCGTGAAAGGGCTATTCTCTGTCTTTTTAAAAATTCACGTGGTTGTCCCAATACCTAGAACAGTGCCTGGTATGAAGCTAACAACATAGTGCAAAGAATTACCCAGTGGATGAGCTGGTGGAACCAGGTCACAAACCTCAACCCAGTGAGCCTGACTCAGCCCCAACCAGAGAGGGGTGGCCTCTGGGACACCGAGGACAGACAGGGACTGTGGCCCAGGCAGGGGCGGGCCCACAAGCCAAGCTCCCCAGACAGCAGTGTCTATCCGGGCTTCAACAGGGTGTCCTGCGGCCACGGGGTGCTCTGCAGCAGTGGCTCCACGGCCTTGGGGACAGAAAGCTTCCCCAGTGAGCTGCTCCACAAATGGAAAGAGGGGGCCCTGAAGGCCGCAGCTGAGTGCATCTATGCTGCACCCGGGAATCTAACCCGTCAGCCAGTCAGGACAGCAGAGGCGACTCCACAGTTCTCTGCGCGCTGGAGGGAGCGAGAGGGCCCGAGGCGAACGGCCTCAGACCTGGCTTCTAACTGGCTCGATGCCCCTTGAGCAAAGCGTCTCCCCAGCTCACCTGTTTCCACCTGTTAAAGGCAGAGTTGGCCTAGGGTACGAGAACTCATTAGGCCTAAGGAGCGCTAGATCCTTCTCCAAGGACGTCACATACATTTTCACTTCATCTTCTCAACTGCGCTGTAAGGCAAGATTTATCGTCCCCGATTAAGAAATGAGGAAACCGGGCCTGGGGGAGTAACTTGCCCAAGGTCACGGTGCGGGAGAGCGGGGAACCAGGACGGCCCCCCTGGGTCTCCTGGTGACAAGGAGCCGTACTCTCGTTCTTGGGCGCCGCGCTGCAGCACTCCCAGCGCCAGGCCGCGTGGCACAGTGGGCAAGAGCCCGACCCGGCGCGCACAGCTGCACCGGTTCAAGCCCCAGGCGCGCGGCTTACCGCTCGCGGCCCGCCTGGGCGGCTGCATCTCGTCGCCCTTCTCTCTTTTCATCCCCGAAACGGTGACGGCAAGTACCAACCCCCTGGAGGAAGGAGTGATGAGAGGCAGACACTGTAGTAAACAAACGCAGCCGCGGGTGGGGTGCGGGCGACCTGTTTTCCTCCCGCACGCAGCAGGCCGGGGCTCCCGCGTCCGCCCCGCGCGCC